CTCTTGTATTTCTACAGAAATGTAAGAATCAAAATGTTAATCTTAATGAAAAGTGATGTTGGCATTTTGATGAAGGATTGTGTTTTCTGATCTTTATTATTTGCTTCTATTTGTTTTTGGCTTTTAATTTCTTAGGGAAAGATATGAGCTATTTCATAACTTTCTTTTCCAATAAATGTACTTGGTGTTAAAAATAATAACAATAAAAAAGTATGTTCAGTTCTCGTGTTCAGACGGAGAACAGTATTTTCTCATGCCTCATTGTGATGGTAAACTTGTGTGCGTGCGTGTGCATGTGCATCCTTGGGATTGATTACTGGGCCCCATTTATACTAGCAAGTGTTCTACCACTGAGCTCTATCCCCAGCCTACAGATGGCTGTTGTTAATATAAAATTATGTTGGATGTATAACTGTAGAAATGTCTATTAGTTTCTGGCACTAGTAGGCTGTCAGTATGTATTAAAAGAATTAAGGCACTTAATGCTTAGTATGTTTTCTTTCTTTCTTTTTTTTTGAGGGGGGGTCTTTTTGAAACAGGGTCTCACTCTGCAGTTCAGGCTGGCCTCGAACTCACTTTGTAGCTTAGGCTGTCTAGAATTTCCAATGATCCTCCTGCCTCAGTCTTCCCAAGTGCTGAGATTGATTACAGGTGTGCACCACCACACTCAGCATATATTTTCTTAAAAAAAAATTTTTTTTTGACTGTATTGGGCATTGAACTGAGGGCTTTTACAGTTAACTATGTCCCTAGCCCTTCATTTTTTTTTTTGAGACAAGAGCTTACCAAGTGGCATGAACTGGGCTCAGATTTATATTCCTCCTTTGTCAGCTTCCTAGGGTGCTGAAATTAAATATTTGTTAAATGATGTCTTGCTTGATCTTTGATATATTATAATCTCCTTGAAAGATACATGTTTATTTGCAGGACAATTAAAACAGTTTTTAGTATTGAGTAGCTGTGAGATAAATGGAAGCTGTATTTCTTTTTTAGCCTCTTAATCCAAGGAATTTAATAAGAATGTATAAACTAGGATCATATGGAGCTTATTTACTGTATTTCTTGACTTACATAGAAACAGGGAGGTTGTATTTTGAGTATCATAGTCTTTTTCTTTATTCAGATTTTCTTGGTTCATTTTACACATGCAGTGTGTCTTTTTGAGTCACGGTTTCACTGTGCAGTTCAGGCTGGCCTTGAACTCTCAGCAGTCCCCCTGCCTCAGCCTCCTAAGTGCAGGGATTACAGGTTGGTGCCACAATGATGACATTTACCATAGAGAATTTGTACCTGTATATGATTTTACTTGATATTTTTTTCTCTCCTATGCTCCCTTCAGCCCCTCTCTACCTCTTCTCATTTACAAAAACTTTGTTTCCACTTTTTTCTTTTTTTTAAAACTTTCCTCTCATTGCCTTCCGCATTTGAACATTTTCTTCCTATTTCATAATATCTATTATGTATTTTGGTCCTTATTTACATTTTCTGTTTCTCATGCCAAGAAACAATGTTTACATGCGTGTATCCAATTTATTTCACTTTAGAATATCATCTCAAGGTACATCTGTTTACCTACAAATGTCTCAAGCTTATCATTCTTTTTTTTTTTTTTTTTTTTTTTGGTCTTTTTCGTTTTTATCAGTACCAGGGATCGAACTCATGACTGCCTGCTTGCAAGGCAGGCGCTTATGCCGCTGAGCTAAATCCCCAGCCCAAGCTTATCATTCTTTATGACAGAGTAGTACTCCATTATATTAAAAATGCATCTTTTTACAACAACAAAAAATACATCTTTATTCACCAGTTGATGGGGATTTGGGGTGTTTCTAAGATGTGGCTATTATAATGTGTGTCACCATAAACATGGATATGCATATATGACTGTGGTATGTTGCTTTAAATTCTTTTGGAAGATAAAGAGGGGAATAACTGGGACAAAGGGAATCTCTAGTCCTAGTTTTCTCAGGAACCCCCATATTGATTTCCACAGTGGCTGTACCAGTCTGCACTCTGCCAGCACTGGAAAAAGGTTCCTTTCTTCCCACAGCTCCACCAACATTTGATATTGCTTGAGTTTTTGATGATGGTCATTGTTTCTGGGGTGAGGTAGAATGTTAGTGTTGTTTCAATTTGCATCTCTCGAATGACCAGTGATGTTGAACATTTTTTCATGTATTTGCTGTTTGTATTTCATCTGAGAAGTGTGCGTTCATCTTAGCTGCCCATTTTTGGATTGAGTCTTTATATTTGGAAGGTGTGATTTTTGTTGTTGTTGTTGTTGTTGTTCTTTATATGTTCTTGATGGTAGCCTTTTATCTGAGGAACAGCTGACAGAATTTTCCCCCCACTCTATGGGTTGTCTCTTTACTCTGTTGGTGGTTTCTTTTGCTGTGCAAAAGCTTTTTAGTAAGGTGAGATCCCAGTTGTTGATTCTTTGTGGTAGTGCCTGTCTGACTGGGGCTGTGCTCATAAAATCTTTGCCTATATCGAGAGTTCTGCCTATTCTGTCTTCCAGAATGCTTCTGTTATAATATGTAGGTCTTTGATCCATTTCAGTTTTAGCTTAGTGCGTGGTGAAATAAATGAGTGTAGGCATGTGGGAAGATACTTTTAGATACTTTTTCCAGTATCATTTATTAAAGAGGCTGTCTTTCAGTGAAGGTGTTTGGCACCTTTGTCAAAGATAAGTTAGCTGAGTATATCTGCAATTATTTCTGCAGTTTCTAATCTGTTCCACTGACCCTTGAGTCTGCCCCCTCCTGCTGCCATGCTGGTTTTATCACAGGGGCTTTGTAGTATCATTTCAGGTATGGGAATGTGATGGCCCCTGACTTGCCTTTGTTGCTCAGAATTACCTTTGCTATTCTAGGACTCTTCTGGTCGCAAATGAATTTTAGGATTGTTTTCACTAATTCTGTGAGATATGCTGTTGGAATTTTGATCAAGATTGCTTTAAATCTGTATAGCAATTTTGGAAGTATTACCATTTTCATTATATTGTTTCTTCATACCCCAGAGGAAGGGATGTTGTTTCCACTTTCTGATTACCTCTTCTGTCTTCTTTTTTAGAGTACTGTAGTTTTCTTTTTTTTTTGTCTTTTTCGTTTTTCGTTTTTATTAGTACCAGGGATCTAACTCACAACTGCCTGCTTGCTTGCAAGGCAGGCGCTTATGCTGTTGAGCTAAATCCCCAGCCCCTGTAGTTTTCATTTAGAGGTCTTTTATTTCCTTTATTAAATTGATTCCTGGATATGTCATGTTTTTGGGTGCTATTGTGGAAGGTGTTGTTTCCCTAATTTTCTCTGAATGAGTTTGTTACTTGTGTCAGGAAGGCTTTGATTGTTCAGAGTTGACTTTGTATCCAGCTATGCTTCCAAATTTGGTTATTAAATCTAGAAATCTCGCTGAAGTTTTTGGAGTCTTTTATGTAGAGTATCATGTCATCCAAAAAATAATGATAATCTAACCTTTTCCTTTCTTATCTTTATTCCTTTTGTTTCTTTCTGTTGTCTAATTGCTTTGACTAATGTTTCCAGAATCATATTGAGTAAAGGTATTGATAGTAGACACTTTGTCTTGTTCCTGATGTTAGAGTGAAAACTGGTTTTTTATCATCATTTTAGTATGATGTTGGTTATTGGTTTCTCATAGATGGCTTTTATAGGATTGAGATAAGGACAATCTATTCTAATATTTTTGTAGGTTTTTTTGGCAGAATCTTGCCATGTAGTCAGGAGGCTGGCCCTGCACTCACTATGTAGCCCAGGTTGGCCTTGAACTTGCAGTGATCTTCCTGCTTCAGCCTTCCAAGTGTTAGGATTGCAGTTATGTACCACCACACCCAGCTGTAGGGTTCTTTTTTTTTTTTTTTTTTTTAAATCATGAATGGGTATTGGACTTTGTCAGATGCTTTTTCTGCATCTATTGAGATCATTTATGTTTTTTTGGGTCTTGACTGTTGGTAATATGTATTACATTCACTTCCTAGCATATGTTGAAGCATCCTTGTATCCCTTGCATTGTTTGCTTTGAGATAGGTTCTTTCTTTGTAGTCTAGGCGGACCTTGGACTTCTTGCCATAATTTCCCAAGTGCTGGAATTACAGGTATATACACTGTGTCCAGCAGTTGCTACTTTTGATGAAGTCCAGTGTGGTTGGTGTTATATGGGACTTTTTTTACATTAGACATCTTCACCTAATCGCAGATCATAGTGTTTCTGGTGTTATTGTGGGAGTTCTGTGGTTTTCATTAATAACACGATCCATCTTGGGGAATTTCAATTTATACTGTGAGGTAAGGATAAAATTGTCTTTTAGTTTTGGCACCAATTATTGAAAAGACTTCCTTTTCCCCACAGAAGTGCCTTTGTGCCTCTGTCAAACAGGTGGTCTAAATATGTGTAGATCCCTTTCCGGAAAGTTTGTTTAGTTGAATAATATTGTATTGTTTTGAGTATTGTTAGCTTTATAGCAAAGTGTTGATAGCCCTGAAAGTTTGTTAGTTTTCAAAGCTCCTTTGACTTTTTTAAATGGCCTTTGTATTTTCATATAATTTCACAGTAAGATTGTCAGTTTCTTTCTTTTTTTTTTCTAATTTTTTTTTTTTTTAAATCGGTACCAGGGATCAAACTCCCGACTGACTGCTTACAAGGCAAGCTCTTTGCCACTGAACTAAATCCCCAGCCCCAGACTGTCAGTAAATATGTTCTGCTGGGGCTGAGGATTTAACTTAGTGGTGCAGTGCCTGCCTGGCAAGCATATGATCCTGAGTTCTATTCCCAAGTACCCCATCCCCCCAAAAAACGTCCTGCTGGAATTTTGATTGGGATAGGTTTGAATCCATAGTTCAGTTTACTCCTGTAAGTTGCCTTTAATTTATCTTAGTATGTTTTATAACCTTTAATTTGTCTTTTACATTTTGCCAGACTTACCTTAAATATTGACTGTTTTTGATATTACCATACACAGTTTTGTTATTAAAACTTAACTCTCTGACCAGGTCTTATCTAATAAGCATGTGGCTCCTGATCATCTGTTGCAAATCTGCCAGCGCATCGGTCCCATGCTGGATAAAGAAATCCCACCCAGTATCTCCAGAGTCACCTCTTTACTCGGCGCAGGAAGACAGTCTTTGCTACGTACAGCAAAAGGTACCTTAATTTGAAGAAGTGTTCTGCTTTGTATAAGTAGTTTCGTAATTATTATACTTGTGAAGTAATGTAAGCATTGTGGAAGAAAGGTGATGTGTAACTATAAATCATGCTGTGGATTATAAAATTCTCTGCATTTAGCGTAGAACTTTGAATTTTATTACATAAGTGTTTTATGGGTCCTTCTGCATTTAAAAAATTGATACATAGATGTTAAGCTAAAAAGCTTGAATTTATTGAGATGTGTTTGAGGTTTTATTAATGTGAGTTCTTAATTCACCATTTTGTAGCTCACTCGTAACTTCATTGAATGTAATTGTATGTGTCTAATAAACTCTTTAAATTCTGAAAGCCCTTTGTTATAAGAGAGAAGCGATTTTCTAAATTTGGTAGCAGTTTGAAAACAAGCACCAAAAATGTAAAATTGCATGATTCTTTTTTCACTAATTTTTTTTTTTTTGCAAAGTTATGTGCTAGCAAAATGTTGGAAATTGCTATTCTTTCTCTGTTAGCTCGGTATAAATGATTTAGACTAAGCATATGTATGTGATATGTATGTATACCTGTGGCAGCACTGTTGATGGACAAGACTGTTGGTTCTTCTGATTCTGAGCGTACACCATGTCCTTCCGTGATTATTTTTTTGAAGAGCTGTTGCTGATGGGAGGCTGCCTCTCAGATGCACCACCAGCCTAAGGCTCTTCTGAGAAGGAACAGTCCTTCTCCTTGGTCCCATGCCAGCGGTTTGTTGGTTTTAGTTGATTTTTAGTGCTCTATAGCTGTGCCACACTGTGGCTCTAATCAGGAAAATGATTCTGTGTCCCTTTTACTTGTAATTACTATATTGTAGGTTCTTACAGTCAGTTCGTTGGGTAGCTTGTTTCCCTTTTTTTGTGTGTGTGTCACGCTCCATGTCGTTGTTCTGTGAGGAACACCCACTTTAGGACTGGCAGAACTTAGAAGACACTTCAGCAGATTGTCCTAGGGTAGGGCCATGTTTCTCTGTTTTGTACTCGTGCCATGAGCGGATGCCTTGTAAAGCCACTCTTCAGTCATGATAGTCGTGATGAATTCATTCATGTAAAACAATATGCTTTGTAGTTTGGGGCACCCGAGGCTCAGTGGAGGTTTAATGTGCTGCCTTCCTTCCCTTGGTCTTTCAGTTGTAGAGAAGCTAATTTCTAGTACAGCATGACTGCTACGACATGTATTGTGCTGCTGTCTCCTGTAGAGGAGAGCAGAATTTCTTTCTTTGTGCATTTGCTTGTAAGTCACAGAGGGATGGGACTTTAGAATTAGTGTTCAGACTCCCAGATCCTACATATGTGCTCTTCTGTAAAGTATTATCCGCGATTCTAAACAAGGGGAAAGCTGTTTAATTTGTCAGTACTTCATAAGGAGACAGAAGTTATGGCAGTATTGGCTAAATTAATTAAAATGGAACAAGTTAATTAAGAGGATTTTCATGTAAGTCTTAAAAATTTCCTCAGAGTTTCCATTTTTGAAAAGCTGGATCACTTGTGACTAAGACCTTTCATCTTTGATATTTTATGGTATAATTCTGCATTGAAAAATGAATACCTATTTGGCATTCCACAGGACTTGGAGAAAAATATGTGGTTTTGTGGTCCGTCATTCATAGTGGATCTCTTTCAAGGTCCTGGAACCTTTGAGCCTCAGTTACCTCACTTTATAAATTGGCAAAAATACCTACCTCACAGGGTTGTTGTGAGGATCCAATGAGATAATGTATGTGGAAAGCACTTCGTGAATTGTAAAGTGCTACGCAAATGTTAGTTGTTGCTGCTGTATCTGAGCTGTCTTTAAGTTTTATTTTTTTTCCTTCAGAAATAGTCTAATAAACCTCCAGGGCTTTTCTGTTAAAGAATGTTAGTTGGTAAAACTTTGAATAAAAAGTTTTATTACAATATACGTAAGTATTCTATAAAATCTTTCTTGGGGTTAACTGTCAAGATTTTATGTGTATCTAAAATTCATTTTAAAGACTGCAGGCACACAGTGTGGAAGGGCTCTGCCTTTGCTGCTCTTCACAGAGGAAGACCTCCTGAAATGCCGGTGAATTACGGTTCCCCACCAAATCTCGGTGAGTGAGGCTGGCCCCTGAGATGCCGGAAATGGTTTTTAAAATTTGAGAGAATTTATAAATTGTACATTAAACTCTAAAAGGTTATACTTGGTAATGTTGTTAAGTAATAATTGAATGTTTTCTTAAAATGCTTTAAAAAAATTAAATGTCTTACCATAGTTAAGAAATGTATGTGTTACTGATTACAGTACACTAGAATTGGAAAGCAATTTGTGTCCAGAGAATTTCTCAAGCATAGAGTGTTGCATTCCTTTAGAAATTGTTTTGGACTTTTTCTTAGCTTTTGCATGCTGGCTTTCCCGTAACCGTCTTCATTGTTTTTATTTCCTAGTGGAGATCCATCGAGGAAGGCAGCTCACAGGGTGCTCCACTTTTAGCACAGCATTTCCAGGAGCTATGTATCAGCACATAAAAATGCACAGGAGGATTCTCGGACATCTGTCTGCTGTTTACTGTGTAGCATTTGATAGAACAGGACATAGAATCTTTACAGTGAGTTCACATTTTAAACTCCATTTGATGCCACTGGAGTACGTTAGTGTGTTTCAGCAATCATCTGGAAAGCTTATGAAACGTAGAGATTATGTGTTATTTTGGCTGAGTCGTCTTATATGGAGCTCATAAGTTTGCACAGATATTCATGACACTACACTGTTTGGAGAGACATTTGACAGAAAGCAGTGGGTCTTTTTTTTTTTTTTTTTTTTTTGTCTTTTTGAGACAGGGTCTCTATACAGTTCAGGCTGGCCTTGAATGCACTTTGTATCCCAGGCTGGTCTTGAACTCGCAACGATTCTCCTGCCTCAGCCTCCCAAGTGCTGGGATTACAGGTGTGAGCCACCACACTCAGCTAAAGTAGTGGGTCTTTAAGCACTGTTAAAGATGCCTTCTAATATGCATGCTAGTGTGTCCACTGTAGCCTATTTTAGACATGTTTCATTATTAAATAGTGTTAACATCCAACAAAGCAAAAACAAAAAACTACATAAAACCTCCCGACCATTAGAAGTGATTTATACTTGTATAGATAACTCGCTGATCCAGAAAAATGGACTGGTTGTAAAATAACTTTTCTTTGTTCAAGTAGTTCAGAAAAGTGCATGGAACTATTTGAAATCTAACCTTTTTAGAGTTTTTAAGGGACAGTAAAGATTTAACTTTGATTTTGCAGGTGTGACATTCACAGTACATAGTCAACTGTGTGTTGACTTTTTTTTAAATTTAATTTAATTAATTAATTTATTTATTTTTGGTCTTTTTTTTTAATCAGTACCAGGGATCGAACTCACGACTGGCTGCTTGCAAGGCAGGCACTTATGCCGCTGAGCTAAATCCCCAGCCCCTGTGTGTTGACTGTTGGGTGCTGACATATTATAAATTTGGGACTGTTGTTTTGTTACTAGATATGAGGATGGTTTCTCCACCATTTTTGTTGTTTGTTGATTTGGGAATTGCCACTTAGTTTTGTTTTTGCCACATTCTGAAAACTTGATGTTTCTTAGCTTTCATTTAGCTTAGTGAGCTAAACTTGACATTGCAGTTGGGCTTATTATTGATGGACAATTTTGTGGAAAATAGTTCTTAAGTGATCTGATTCATAGAAATGCTAATTTTAGGTGTCTTTACATAGATTTTGTGTGAAGAGAAATACTATCTGCTGAGTATTTTATAGTTGGAGGGAAGTGGGGAGCTATAGATAGATAATTTGGGTGATATGTAAAAAACATTCTTTTAGATGATTTAAAAAGAGTTTGCTGTACTAATTTTTGTATCTGGGTGTATTTTTTTCTTAGGGTTCAGATGATTGTTTGGTAAAGATTTGGTCAACACATAACGGCCGTCTGTTATCCACACTAAGAGGGCATTCTGCAGAAATCTCCGATATGGCAGTGAACTGTGAGAATACCTTGATTGCCGCAGGGAGCTGTGATAAAATCATTAGGGTCTGGTGCTTGAGAACCTGTGCCCCAGTCGCCGTGCTGCAAGGACACACGGGGTCGATCACGTCTCTGCAGGTGAGCGCCACCTTGGTTTGCACCTTTGCATGTTACTGTCTTTTCACCTATAGAGCTAAATTCCCAGCCCACCTGAATGCTTTTTAATGAGTTTTTTACCTCTTTGAAATTTATGGTTGAATTGGATGAGTGTTAGTTACAGCCTGGTTGCAGGTTATTTTTCTCTTTTAACCTTGTGGATTTTGGTGTGATGGTGCACACCTATAATCCCAGCACTTGGGAAACTGAGGCAGAAGGGTCAGTGCAAATTGAAGGCCAGCCTGGGCTACGTAGTGAATTCAAAGCCAGCTTGAGATGTGTAGCAAAACCCTGTCTCAAAAACAAAACAATGAAAATCCTGTGGATTTTGTTAACTCAATTAAATTTTTTCAGACATTAATTTTTTTCCATAATAAGTGGAAGATAATTTCGAACATAGACAAAGTAGACAAAATAGTATGATGGACCCCTTTGAAACAACCCCCCCTCCCCCGCCCTGTCAGTTTTTCCCTAACCACGTCATGGGTATAACAGCTATCTAGGATTCGTCTAATTCTTTTTCAGATAATTCAGTATGTATTTCTTTTTGTTTTTCAGTATGTATTTCTGCAAGATAAGAATCTCTTTTAAAAATATACTATTATTATTTGTTGATACTCAGCTTTTCAATTGTCTCATTTATTTAGTTTGAATCAGGAGCACAGGAAAGGCTGCATTTTAGAGTTGTTTGCTGTAGATTAAAAGAAATCATAAATTTCATCCTCCCACTCAGCCTTTCTTTGCTGAAGGAACCTAGATTGTTTATCTGTGGCTTCCTCATTGTTTGGATTTTCCCAGTTGAATTCTTTGGAGTTGTTTACTATTGTCTCTGTAGCTCTCCTAATTCTATTGTTGGCTCCAGAGCAATAGTTCTTGTAATGTGCATGACATCTCCTGGATTTCTTAATAGGTTGTTAAGGTACCATGTGTGAGGAGTCTGATTTAAAGTGTCTGTCCTGGATACCGAGCATTTGCTTTCATGTTCGAAGTTTCTAGGTCTGTCACATTGAGTGTAGGTTCTTCCATCAGGAGGTGCACAGTATTCAGGCAATGATCACTGCCTTTGATGCATTAGCTTACCAGGAACTGTAAATGGTGGTGTTTGCCACTCTTTGAAAATTATATTTTGTTAGGTTGAAGGAAATAGATGATTTGTAGGCTTTGAACAATAGCACATTGGTGCATATGATTTGAATTTGCTTAGAAATATGGGGCAGTTCGGTTTTTTTTTTTATTTAAAGAGAAAAAAAAACAGAAAAAAAGGGTAGAAATAATACAGAATTTCAGAAAAATAAACAGTAAGAAACCACTAGTTGATAAGTTACATATTGTCATCTTAGAAATAGTTATTCAAGTTACAAAATTAAAGCATACAAAGTGACATTCAAATGACATTGCAAACAGTTCTGCCCAATGATCCAACAAAAAATTAATAATATGGTTATCAGTCCTACACACTTGTTTTTTATCTTAAAGAGGGTAAGATTCAGTATGACAAAATAGAACAAAACAGTTATAAGGAAACAATTTAAAGAAACAGATTTCAAAGCTAGTCCACTGGAGATCTTCACTGTCTATCTTATTTTCTCCAGTTTTCTTCCAAATAGTTGTCCCCATCTTCACACACATTGAATATATACTGAACATTATAGAACTAATCAGATCATTACAGGATGATGAAGGCTTTTTAGATCAAGATCTGATTTTGGGCAAGTCAATAATGACTACCATAATGTGTCTCATTCTCTTCGTAGTAGCTGTCTTTATCTTTACATATGCTCAAATTGAACATAAGAGACTAGACAAATATCACTCTGAACAGTGAATGATAGTATTGCTAGATTTTATATCATAATGCTACAGAATTATCATTGGGTTTCTTAGTGTCTCTTCTTCAGAGTATCTGTTCATTACATCGTGTATTATATAATCTGTCCCATAAATAGTTTAGAAATTCTTCCCATGTGTGAATTTCTACATGTATATCGATCCTTTCTGCATTATAGGGAAAAACAGATCAAAACAAGACAATAAAACAAATTCCTAGAAAAACATGAAATGAAAAAGACCTATAAGACCACAATATTATGTGATCTACAGTAGTTACTATGCTTTCTCTCGTTATTTTCAATAGAATTGTCCACATCATCAGGCATTATATAGTTAAGCATAGCATTGCATAGCTATTTTTATAAAAACACAACTTTGAAGATATTGTAGGACTTGAAAGCAGTTAACAATCAAAACCGGAATGGATATCTTTTACATCTTGTCATCTTCAGATAGTTGCCTCTTAGACTTCATACTATCAAGCATACCAAATTTGAATAAAACCAGTCAAGGCAAAACAGCGGTCTAACAAACCAGCTTCAAATAGGACCAGTCATAGTAAGACATGTAAGTAATACAGGGTTTCAGTTTAAGTTAATAGGAAATTAAGGATAGTTACTGTGGTATAACCTGCTGTTTTGGGGTTAGCTGTCTGTGCCCTCAAATTTAATAAGAGTAGACAGACCAGAACAAAATATAATCAAAACTAAACAGAGCGATAAGACTACTGTGACTTTTAAATCCTGATACACTATTAACAATGTCCTCTCCTTTCCTTTTTTAGGCAATTCCTCCCTTTTCCCTTTCTCAGGGTGCTTTGTATTTTGGGGCCCATTAGCTCCTTTAGTTTTTAGATTAGGGGGCCAGCCTCTTGTCTGAGTGTTGCTGAACCTTTTAGCCCCTGAGCTTCATCTTGAGCTGTACTCCTTTACTTAACTAAAGTCAAGGTTTTCCTTCCTTCTAGCTGTGTAGTTTTTCACTGCCCAAAAGTGTCACAGCTTTCCAATATATCTGCGGCTGCTGGACGAGTTGTCCCTATTTCTCTCTGGTTTCCTCTCACATATAGCATTGTTTTCTCATCTTTAACTCTCAGTTTATTAAGCCTCTCTCAGGTTGAGTGCATTTCCTTTTCAGACCATCTGGATGGATCCTGCCTCCTAATCTGCTCTGCCTGTGTTTCTTTTTTGTTAGTGTATCAAGGCTATCTATAATAAGATTATAGCTTACCATCTCTGCCTCATCTCTGGTACTCTATTCTTTTGCTATTATTTGTCCACTTTACTCCTTCATTCCACGTCTGCCCTGTTCATCGAGGCCTTTCTGCCACTGTTGCTGGAATCCTGGTATTTTTTTCTCTCTCTCTCTGGAATGTCATTCAGTATTTTTTGTAGGGTTGGATTGGTGGCCATGAACTCCCACAGTTCCTCCTTGTCTTGGAAACATCTTATTTCTCCATTAATTTTGAGAGAGAGTTTTTCCGGGTACATCAGTCTTGGTTGGAGGTTGTTTTCTTTCAGGGCTTGGACTATTTTCCCCCAGGCTCTTCTTGAATTTGAGAGCTTGTGTTGATAAGCCTGTGGTTATTTTTGATAATTTTTCCTTTGTAGGTAATCTGCTTCTTTTCTCTGGCTGCTTTTAATATTCTTTCTTATGATGGATTTTTGGAATCTTGATTATTATATGTCTGGGTATAGACCTGTTTTGGTTGTAGATGGCTGGAGTTCTATATGCCTCATTTATTTGCATATCATTTCTTTTTCCTGTGCTTGGTAAGTTTTCCTTAATTATATCTGTGAATAGTCTTTGTAGTTCATTTGTGGTTACTTCTGCTTCTTTGCTCATGTTTTTTATTCTTAAGTTATAAATCCTCTTGTTGTCTTCTAGCCTTTGAATTGTTTATTCCTGGTTCCTTGTTATTTTAAGAGATCTTTTCTTTCACGATCACATATCATAAATCTCTTCAAGTTTTGAAAGGTTAACTTTAGTTTCTCTCAAGGCATTTTGCCAGCTTTCAATGGATTTTTTTAGTTTCCTGGTAATCTCTTTGGATCTGTTTTATGTATTCTTAGCGTTGTTCTTCATCAAAGGTTTCTCTTCTGAGTTCCTCCGTTCCTCCATTTGTGTTCTTTTGGGAGGGGCTTATTTAATCTTTTTATATTTTGCCTCATTGGATCAGAAGTACATTTTTAAATTTGTCTATGAGGTCACGAAGGTATTTCTTCTTTTTTTTTTTTTTTTTGTCTTTTTCCTTTTTATCGGTACCAGGGATTGAACTCATGACTGCCTGCTTGCAAGGCAGGCGCTTATGCCGCTGAGCTAAACCCCCAGCCCCATGAAGGTATTTCTTTATGTCCACTGATGCTGTGTCTAATATTGCATGATTACTGCACTGCTTCTCTTCTGTATTTACCTTTCCTGGGCTTAGTTTCCCAGGGTCAGCAGCTGGAGTTTTTTTCTTTTTTATTTCTATCTCTTGTCATGTTTCTGGTTTCTTTTTCTTTCTTTCTTTCTTTTTTTTTTTTTTTTTTTTTTGTCTTTTTCATTTTTATTGGTACCAGGGATTGAACTCACGACCGCACACTTGCAAGGAAGGCGCTTATGCCGCTGAGCTAAATCCCCAGCCCCATGTTTCTGGTTTCTTTCAAACAGGTGTGTCCTGGGGGTCTCTGGCTCTCTCCGTGTTGCTTAGCATCTTTGCAAGGCATGCTGACTGGAGTTTTGCTGCCCTCCCCAATTTGCTATTATCTGAGGTACACGCAGGGATGCAGGGACAGTGCAGGCTAGCCTTGAGCCTCTGAGCCAGTCGACCTGCAAGTTCCTATAGCAACTTAGGCTGTACCTTGTGTACGTCACAGAGTTGTGACAGTTTTGTCCCTGGCTACTGGGTCCCAACCACAGGCGTAGCTCAGCCCCAGCAGATTCCACCAGTCCTCTCTGCGCCAGGGGCAGCCGACTGATGCTGCTGTGGCGCCGGGCTCTGCCCAACTCCAAGATGTTCTCCAGCCAGCAACAGCAGCTGTGGGACCCAATCCCTAGCACTCACCAGGAATCAGTGCAGTTCTCCATCTTGGCTCCACTCCATGCTGTGCTGTGTCCTCCCGCCCGCCAAGGGCTCAGGACTCAACAATTCCCGTTATCGGCGGCCATGGCTT